GAATGTTATGTAACCTTCCTGGCCTCCTTGCACCACCTTGAGAAGGAAATACATTTCAGGCACCCCTCGATAACTCTCTTTATCACCTCATTCATTCCTCTGAACCAGTACTGTCTGGTAACTCTAATCTAGTCCTTCCTCTCCGGATGTCCCATCTGCTCATGAGTCAGCCTAACCACATTCTCCGCCATGCACTCTGGAACTAAGAATAATAGTCTCCCCTTGGCTTTACGGTATAACAGTCCATCCCTCATCTCATAGAATTTATCTTCCTCTCTCTCCAACTTGTTCCGGATCGCCACAAGCGACGCATCCTGAGCTTGTCGTAAAGCCAGCACCCTGTCGAAGCTATTTTCTTCTATTACCAGAAGCTCGTGACACCTGCTCAGAGCATCAACATGCGTGCATTCTGGCTGCACCTCTATGTTCTAAGTCATAATTATAATTCTCCAATATAAGAGACCATCTAAGCAATTTTGGATTTACCTCTCTCTTCTGCAGAGCCAGCTTCAAACTATTGCAGTCGGTAACCAGTTTGAATCTTATACCGAACAAATATACATGAAATCTTTGAAGCGCATTGACTACTGCCAACATCTCCAGCTCAAAACTGTGAAGTTTGGACTCTGCCGTCGTTGTTCTCTCTGCTATAATAGCATGTCGGGTGCCATTTACCACACTCTCTTGCCTCTGTACAAATACTGCTCCATAACCCACGAGAACTACCATCCGTATGCAATTCTGTTCTGGCAGTTGGAGAGTATATCGCCAACACCGGTTTACTCACTAGCTCCTTTTTAACAATGTCTATTGCACAAACCTGCTCCTCTCCCATTAAAAAGTTCTCACCCTTTTTGCACAAGTCATATAATGGTTTGCACTTTATACTAAATCCTTAATAAATCTCCTAAAGTAACTAGCTAACCCTATAAAACTTCTCAACTGCTTAAAAGTCTTTGGAACTGGGATATCCAGTATCGCTGCTATATTAGAATCACTAGGCCTTATGCCTTTATCGTCTATATAGTATCCTAAAAACTCAATATTATCAAACATAAAACTACACTTATCTAACCTTAATTGTAACTTATTCATACGCAACACTTTCAGCACTCGTTTCAAAACGTCTATATGTTCACTAATTGTTTCTGTGGCTATCAACAAATCGTCCATGTAAGCCGTCACTTCACCACAGACAATAAACTCCCGCAGCACTTCATTAATATATCGCAAAAATACACTAGGGCTGTTACAAAATCCAAAAGGCATTCTTATACATTCGAACTGTCCCTGCGCACACACAAAAACTGTATATTTTCGACTACCCTCGTTGATCACTACATGATGAAATGCATCCTTCAAATCCAGCCTCGTAAAATGTCGCTTACCCTTAAGAGCGTCTAAACAATCATCGATCCTTGGACTCGGATAAGGGTCTCGTACTACCCTCTTGTTGAGTTCGCGGTAATCGATGCATAGCCGAATATTACCGTCTTTCTTGCGAACTATTACAATTGGTGAACAATACTCTGAACAGCTTCGTCGTATTATTCCCCGATCCAACCAATCTTGTATTATAACTTCTACTTTGCCCCTTTCATAATAAGATATTCTACGCGGACTTACATGAAATGGTTCCGCTCCCGCTTTCAAAACTATATTTAACTCGAACTTTACAGCCGGCTCCGTAGGCTGTTCGGCTTCAAGATATTCCTCGCGCATACCTTTTCCACTTGCATACGTGAGGTTAAGTCTACATTTCACAAATTTTGGCACACTGCTCGGACTCACTAAATGTATCTATTAAAAAAATGTCATTCGCACTATCGTTTTTATAACTAATGCCCACTGTTCTTCCGATATTAACATTTAACTCACTATGTTGCACCATGTCCCTACCCAATACACACATCGAAGACATGGTTTCACTCGGCACTAAATAAAATTAATTGTCACTGTCACACCAAACTTCACAAACGTAGCCTTCGCTGTCACAATTCCTAAAACATTCACTTTGGAGCCATTGATGCCCTCAAAACTGTCATCCGCGCTACACTTCTCCACTCCACGCCAGTTGGCGCTGCGTCTGTCGTTAGCATCGATATAGGCGATCCCGTGTCTACGATACTGTCAAACTCATGAGTGCCAACCTTCGTGCGCACTCTATACGCCGGGATGTGACTTATTAAATGCGTCTTCGTGGTACTATCCGCTTCTCTGCTTGTAGATGCCTTTGGCGCATAATCTGTCGAGGCCTTTTGAGAACTCTCTGTGGATGCTTTTTGCGGACAGTCCCGCAGCGAATGTCCTAACTTTCCACACAAATAACATGCACCTCTTTGCCTCCTAGGCTTCGAGCATCCTATCGCCCTGTGGCCGGTTTCACCGCAATTAAAACATTCTATTACCTTCGGTATTACTACAGAAGGCGGTGGTTTCCAGCTCATATTCTGTGGAATGCCCCGTTCATATGGTGTTATTTCGTTCATAACCCTCAACAATGCCGATGTACTTTTGAATTCGCGCATTTTCGCCTGGGCTTGCAATGTCGCGTTATCGAACCCTTCGATCAAATACGCTATCATGTCCGTTTCTTCAATAGCAATTTTGTTACCTAGCGCCATTTTTTCTTGGTAATATGTACTAAATGGCTCATTTCTTCTCCATTTCCGGGCTTCGAATCTTCTCATTAATGTTAATCTGTCCTCACGACACTGGAAAACTTCACACATTCTGCTTTTCAACTCTTCGTACGATAGTCTGACATTATCCGCAGAAGAATTGTACCAAGTCTTTGCTGCTCCAGTCAATCGTGATACCAATAACAACGCCAATTTTCTCTTTGGTATATCGCATACCTCCGAGATCGCGCTTAATCTCCTAAACCATGATTCTACATCATCCTCCCTATCACCACTGAACTCGGGAATCATAGCTAAAATCTCCTGATTGCCCATCATATCATGCACGTTCAACACGGTAACCTGTGGCTGAGCCGCCATTTCCGCTCGCGTGTTTTCACCGGTATGGGCCATGTTGTATCTAATCTTATTAAATCTTCGTAATCACTTAATTATTTTTCTTAAAACACTAACACACACACTCACAATTGCACGCTCAGTCTACAACCACGTGTTTTTCACTGGCCGGTAAAAATTTGCTTCAATTATCGATCACCTGATTTACAATCTCTCTCAGATTCCTAATCTCTCTGATTTCCAGTCTCTCGCTAGACTCCTAATCCTCAGATTTCCAATCTCTCAGATTCCTAATCAGCGCTCACAATAATTACAAACTCACTTTTCCTCTATATATGGGTATGCCACTTCTGAACTTTAAGCTTGTAACGTCCTCTTGAATATCCTGAAATACTTATTAAAACACAACTAATTCTTCAATACTCGGTATATTCACTACTCGTTACAGAACTCTTATTACTCTTACTTAACCAAACTCAACTTATCTCAATCAATCCTGAATCCATACTGTCACTCCTACTCTCAATCATCCTTACCAAACCACACATACATCCTGTCGGCTATTACGGGATCAGACACTCTCTCAAGACCCAGAGCCATCTATCCAACCGACCCGCACTACAGCCGTTACATTCAAACTAATAAAATATAATCTTACAATATATATATATATATATATATATATATATATATATATTACAAGAACTTACTCTTCATCAACTGGCAGATTTTCTGTAACTGAACCTTTTACTTTTATTCCAAAACACCAATATCCAAAAAATCCTATAATGGCATACAGAACAATAACTATAAGCATGGCAATATTTAATACGCCAGGGCAACCCAAAAAATGTTGAGGTTTCTTCATAGTGTTTTCAACAGGCATAACGACACCAATTCCTTCCATAGCAAAAATGACTGTGCTGTAAAATATTGATAAGGCTGTTTTTGACATTCGGCACATATTTACTAGTTATTAAAATATTTTTGTAAAAATTACCTGAAGAACAGTGGTAAATTTGCAAAGTCTCCCATTAAATCTAGTGACTTTATATCCTCTCTTGATTTGAGCAGATAGTACAATGTTATACTAAACGAAACAATTAAACACAAATTTGCAATTGCTGAGAATGGTACTAAGTATTTCAATTCTTTTATTTGTCCTATTATTAATAATGGTACAATGACCATTAATATGTAGGACCGAATATCAATTTCTTCGCCGCCGTTCTCCACTATGTAATAATTTGCTACCTGTAATGCAATAATGCAATTTTATACGCCATATTATGAATAAAATAAGCAATTGCAATAAATTTTTGACTTACCTCACCAATTGATGTAGCTATGAATACTATGTAAACGCAACCCGCCGAAAAATATGTCAATATTATACCCCAATCAACGAACTGCCTAAAATGACCATGAACATGATTATGTGCTATATAATAATGAAATTTTGTTTGATATAGGTATTTGTGAAAATTCAAAATTTAATCGTAATATTTTTGATAGTTTTTACTGAGATGCATTTATTTATGCACTTTTTATTTTATATTAATTTTGCCTTTTTTGGTGGCGGACCTCTTTGAAATTGTTACAGCTTATTGTTCCTTTATTGCGTTTTTATAACCATTGCAACTTGAATTTTAAAGAAATGCAAATGGTCGTAAAGTTGCTATTAGAAGTAACGTTTTTTTAACGTTAGAAGAAGAGATGGATCATTGGAAAGAGTAATTATGAAAAATGTATACTGCGACAGAGAAAACGCGGAAAAGACGCTACTGACGAGTAAACTGTGCCTCGACTAAATTATTTATATCATCATTCACTGGACGTGTATTGAATAAGATCTTTTTTCAGGAACTATTATGATAGTCAGTGGCAAAGCTGATCAGCTGATATTGACTCGAGTCAATATAAAATAGTTTTCATGGGCTAGCCACATTAAAGATAGAGAAGTATATGAGTCAAGTTATTATTGTTTATAAAATTTTAAAAATGGTTACGCCATGTCATTTTTTTATTCTCGTATTTTAATAGCATAACTTTATAGTCGTATTTTTATGGTAATAATAACCCAACGGCTTATCCGTCCATATTTGATAATTTTATTATCAGAATTTTTCTAATAGGGCTGGACTTATTATTCAATTTGATGCAGCAATGCTGGGGAAGGGCCATTCAAACTTAATATAGTAAGACAGTGATTTCCAACCTGTGGGGCGCGCCCCCTGGGGCGGCGCCATACCGTTCCAAGGGGGGCGCAAAGCTGTTTCAAAAATATTATTTTTAAATGCTGAGTAAGTGTCAAAAACAAATCAGCAAAATACTTAAAGTACTTCTGAGAGTGTTTGAGCTCAAAAAAGAAATTGCTATATTTCTTGCTGATAACAAAAGAGACGGAGTAATCTTGTTTTAGGACATAAAGTTCTTCGCAAAATTTGCGTATTTAGTTGATATTTTTCAAAGACTTAGCGATTTAAATAAATCAATGCCAGGATCTCAAATTCGTGCTTTTGTTCAGAAAGACAAGATTACGGCTTTTATGAAAAAATTAGAACTGTGTATAGCTAGTATCAAATAACTTTATAACTTTAACATGTTTCTCACTTTTAAAATTACTTGTGTTACTGATGAAATAGAAGTAAGTAAAGATCTTATTATTATATCAGTCATATGACTAGTCTACGAAACCAATTTTCGCATTACTTTATCTAATTACGTCCAAATACTAACGGATTAGAAATCCATTTGTCATTAAGAAACATGATGATTTTGGTCATTCAACAGCAGAGCAGAAAATTATAATTGATTTATCTAGTGATAGCACATTGAAGCAGATGTTTCAGGACGAAAATATATTGTTGAGTTTTGGTTACCAGTAAAGGACGGTTTTCCTACTTTGACAAATAATGCTTTAGAAATTTTATTACCATTTGTGAGATCTTACTTATGTGAAACAGAAAATTCTTATAATAAATATTTATGTTTGTATGTATATTTTTTATAATACTGTGTATTATTTGGCATAATTTCAGTTATATTAAGTATATTTAAATTAAATTGTTAGAAAAATAAGAAGAGGGGGGGCGCAATATTTTTTTCATTCGAAAGGGGGGAGCAAGGAAGAAAAGGTTGGAAACCGCTGTAGTAAGATCTATATTTTCAAGTGAAAATTGATATCGCTGCTGCTAGATATTGGGTTTGCCCGTGACGGGCATTGAACCCGCGCTCTGCCTGATCGCAAATCAAATTTAAGTAGTTTTTTGTATTAACATAGTGCCAGTGTAGTTAAGTTTTAAACTGATTGGTTTATATTCTTATGTCTATAAGGGAAGCTGGTTTATAAATTCTTTGAATTGATTTAATTAGTTTCTCAGTAATTCGTGTCTAAAATAAAACTTTGCTCTTCAAAATATAGACATTCTCAAATTCTCAAGAAAAAAAAACAGTAAAATGGAGTTATTAATATTCATCCTAATTTCAATTTCGAAGTTGTTTATTCACATATGCGTTATTAAGAGAACATAATATCGTATGAATTCTGGGAATTATGTAGAAACTAATATGTCACAAGAACTATATCTTTTATTTTAGAGAAATTAGAGATAAATAATTAAATTTTATTATTTTATTACCGTGCAAAGCCTGAAAGCTTCCTAATAGTTGGCGAAGGGCTTTGTTTAAATACCTCTTCCGCAGTTTCAGCAAATCCAAGGGATGGTTCTCGCGCTTTGGCACATACTTCATGTGATGTTTTTACCTAAAAATTTAAAATAATCGAACAATTGTTAATATATTTTAAAAGTTTTTTTTATGAAGTATTAATATGAAAATCTCTGATTCAATAAATTAAATATATTGAGTAAACTTTGAATTATTATGTATCTTTTTGTAGTTTTCCAACATATCTAATAATAGCGAGTACATATCATATTAGGCCAAACTATTCTTCTTTGCGATAATCTGGAATTTCGAAAACCGGCGGAAAAATTGAATACGTAATATTCAATTAATCACGAAATAATAATATTTCACAAAGAATTTACTAAATTGTAACGTAAATACTTTTGAATGTGTATAGGTGTTTAAAATTGTAATTTTGCAATGAGTTCGACTCTTAGTTTTTAATTCCTTTAACGGCCACAAAACTTGTTCAATTTATTCTATTCTGCATATTGAAAAGTGTAAGATATTTGAATAATAATTAAATGACAACTGTGTTATTTTAATCTTACTAATAATTTGTACATGATAATGTTTCTTATAGATTAATTATTGATCATGATTAATCGATACTAAGTGGCTCTCCATAATTAAATAATATGCATAAAACATTAAGCGCGTGTATGAGTATTACTAGCAAATTTGTTATGCATAATCTAAAATATTAATCATCGTTGCACAATGAAGCTATATGACTTGCCAATAAATTGTTAGCTTGAGTTCATAAATTTAATAAAACCGATTAATTTATTCAACTCAACTAAGTATATATAAATATATTTTACGATATAAATCATATAATAAATAAAGTAAAATAATATAAATTTGTTTCGCCGTTGATGGCTATATTTGCGACTTTATTATGGCAACACGAAAAGTTATCATGCAAGCGTCTGAATTTTTTTTTTCAACTAAATAAATTTACAGCTGTTAATTGATTTCGTGTTTTGTACGAACAATAATAAATGTTTTAATTTTTTTTTTCTTGTAAGAATGTTGTTGAATACCGAGTAGTTTTTTATATTGTTGACAATCAAAAAGCCATCTCATCTGGTTTATTTTTTTTAACAAAATCTATATACTCCGATGATTTATTCTTCTTAAGGCACTGACTTTATCGTCACCATGATGTTGAATTGAAATTATTATTTTTTTTTTATTTACAAATATAATAGCAATCAGAATCTTATGAAAATAAATTTAAATGTAAAAAAATTTTGAAATATGTTTAACGTAAAAACTGGGTTGTTTATTATACCTTTTGTAATAAGGTTATGAACATATGAACGTAACTAGCTGTAAGTGGAATTCTGTCTTAAGGCAATTAGGGCATCGTGCCTTAAGGCAAATTGCTGAAACTTCCCGTACCAAAAATTATTATTTTTTTTTAAAACGATTAACATTTTTGAAAAAAAATTACTTTGAAAAAATAAGATTTTTGAGAAACTATAAATTGGACAAAAAATTAGTTTTTTTTGAAAAAAAAAAAATTAAAAAAAAAAATATTTTTTTTACAAAAATTTTTTTTTTTTGAAAAAAAATTTTTTTTTCTTTATTTTGACATATTGTGGAAGATCTGAACTTTTTTTTCAAAGCAATCGTACTGCTTTAACTACATAGGGACAAAATATAAAGCGCGTAAGCGCCGCGTCGCTGTCTAACGCATAAGCATTGGTACGGAACCGATAGGAATGTTAACAAAATGTATACTTATTGTTAAAATCTCTATAAAATGTCTGATAATTTGATGTGCATATGTCTAATGATCATTTTTGACCGCCAAATGGCTCATTTTTTTACTTTTTCCTCTATATCTCCGAAACCGCTAGACCTGCCCTCATGAAAATTTGATCAATTCTTCATCTTGTCAATACAAATAAAATGTTTTTTGAATTATTAAAATCGGACGCTCCGTTCTCTTAAAAACTGAGTTACCGTTTTCGGAACTTTTTGCCCCGTATCTTCGGAACGGCTTGACCTGCCTTTGCCAAAAACTAATCAGCACGTCTCCTTATCAATACGGATCGAATGTTTTTTGAATTATTCAAATCGGTTGATCCGTGTTCCTGAAATCGTCGACGAAAATTTGTATCCGCACATACATACACACACATACATACATACATACATACACACACACACACACATACACACACACACACACACACACATACATCCATTTTTTCTAAGGTATGCCAAAATGTTCAGAAACCTCTGAAACGTAAAGATATATAAAAATTTTCATTTTCGATTTTTTTGCGATTACTATAACTTGCCCTACGGGAAGTTAAATATGTACGCACAATATTTTGAGAAAACTGTTTGTGTACTTTTATACTTTACTTATTTAGCTGTTCAAATATAATTATGCAAATACTTTCCAATCCATATATCTTGTCTGTCTGCATTTACATACATTTAATTATTTATTTATTTGGAATTATGTCAATGTAATTGAAGTAGACTTGTCTAGTTTGTGATCTGATAAGTCGTATATAATTTTTATACAGTTTAATTTTTTTTAATACTTTAAAAATGTAAATAAAATTCAAAGTTACTTGTACAAATATAAAACAAAACTAATATAAAAAAATAAATAAAATTCAAAGTTACTTGTACAAATATAAAATAAAACTAATATAAAAAAATAAAAACCTAGAAATAAAATATAAAACTTATATATAGTAATAATATTATATACACGACTAAACAACAAAACATGTAATTATATTTAAATAACAAAATTATTAAGCAATTATCATGATTAATTTGTATAAAGTTAGAACAATGGTAAAGAGTACTCTATGGTAAACCTATATTTGGTTGATTTTAAGTATTTATAGTATAGAATATTTTGGCTCCGGAGCCACCTAAAAAAACGTTACATTTTTACATAAGAGGAAATAAATTTGTTATCGATTAGACCGATTCAATTTATTGAGACACCATATGAAGTCCTTTAAAAGGCAATTAATTTAAAGTTTAATAACGAGTCGAGATAATATTTAGACGCATGTTTATACAATAGAACGATTTAAAGAGACCGGTTTTAATTGATTATGAGATTTAAAGTCTAAATGTTTTCGAAAAGTTCAAACTCAATTGTGACATGTATAAATTGTGAAATCTTTCAATAGCGATATTTTTAGGGTAAATACCAGTATTAATACCTCCGAATAATTAGACGGTATACTGATTTTGTGATAATTCCGGTATACCGGTTTTGCACTACTTACAAATTATTAATATAAATTAGTAAATACTATCACTACTTGATCTCTTGATCTCTTGAAAATGGTTTTATCATATACAAATTGATATTTTTGTTTCAACCCATGAGACAAATATTAAATTATTTGCGTTTTCTAAACTGTATGTAAATTTACCAGTATATGGACACAATGTGTGCAGATGAAACCGATGACTAGAGTTCCTATGCTGGCAAATACTAAGCCTCCATTTTTAAATGCCATTGGCATCGCCAGAATTCCTGTCCCCAGTGAACTTTTCAACAAATGTATGAGGGACCCCATCGTCCTAAACAACAAAAACATAATGAAATAAAATAAAATAAAAGTAAAATGATTATCGATTTTTTTCAGCAAACTGCAATACTACTTAAATGGTAAATAGATACTTACGAATTTCCATTAATGGCATCTCTATGCTCGAAAGGGTTGTATTCTTCTTCTTTCTTTTCATTGTGTAATACAGTTCTGGAATTAGAAATAGTATTAGAAATTATGTTAACATAATCGTAATTATTTTAGTTGAAACTTTGTTATTTTCTGATTCATATTCAGAACAATTGCACAGTATCAGTCACTAACTTCGCGTAGAGTAAGTTTTAGTAATCGCATAAAAGCGAAAATGAAAATTTTTTTGCATATCTTTAGGTTTCAATGGTTTCTTAACATTTTAGCATACCTTAGAAAAAATTGATGTATGTGTATGTGTTGACGTGTTCGGGAACACGAAACTTAAAATTAACCAATTTTAATTATTCAAAAAACATTCGATTTGTAATGATAGAAAACGTGCTGCCGATTAGGCATAGGCAGGTCAGGCCTATATGGGGCAAGATACGGGGCAAAAAAGGCAATTCACTTTGTGAGAGAGCCTTATGCGTCTAATTTGAATGATTCAAAAAACATAATTGCTAGATAATTACTTACACTAATTTTTTGGACAGGCAGGTCCAGCAGTTTCGAATATCCAGAAAAAAAAGTTACAAAAATACTATTTGTTGATAAAAAAAAATGATCATTTCAAAGTTCCAAATTTCCAAAAACATTTAAAAAAAATCAAAATTTCCAAAAAAAACAGTCTTCGAAAAAAATCAAAATTTTCAAAAAAAAAATGTGAATGTACAGCATAAATGCATAAGCTGTTGGTAGAATACGCTCGTCATTTTAATAAGCACTTAAAAATTTCCAGTATATATTTATAATAATTTATTTGAAAATATTTGAAACAATTGTTATTGATAATTGAACAATTCAATTGATTACGAAATATTTACGTTTCAAAAATTTTTTTTCAATTATCTTCAATATGTTTCATATACATTTTAAAATGTATTAAGTTTAAAATGCATGAAGTATTAAATGATTCTAGTCAACCGAATTCATGAAATGGATTTGGATCTGCTACATTTACATTCAATTTTTCTACATATTATACATTTACTCTTTTATTACATTTATTAATTTTCTTAATAATAAATCTTAATTTTTCCGAATGCATTTCCGTTTGCAGAGACTTAGTTTTATTTAGTGTAGTACAAAGAAATTCTAAATTCATAGAAATTTTAATTTTATTTATAGAAATTTTTACTTGGATACATTTTTTTTAAATATTTTTTAAAGTAAAAATCCGTTACTGCTCAAAATCAGATTGCACGCAACGCGGGTTTTGAACTTGGAACCTTGTAGTTGCAAGACCTAGACTCTACCACTCACGCCACGTACTCCCCAAAATCTTCATTGATGCATATCATAAGATAGCCTTATACTTTAGTATAATGAATACCTAGTGAATCAGTTGTTTATTTCTCGCCAATGTACGACACGTGGATGGAGTTTTCCCATATCAAACTCATTTAAACTTTGGAGTATGATGAATATTTATATAAATATTTACAAATTTAGTAAAGATGGAAAAATATTTTATGAGGATTTCAATGCAAAATAATATTATACTACTTGCAATTTATAAATTATATTACTGTCTCAGGACATTGTTGTTGCGATAATGTTTTTTTTAATGAAATTTACGTGCTATACAGGTACTATATTTCAAATTTTGTTTATATTATACTAAAATTTATTAAGTAGTTTACAAAAGGAATATTCCGACACATTGTGTCGCATAAAATCATTAAATATAATCAGAACTTATATCGAGGCTTTTGTGAAAAAATATACTGTAATAAAATACTGTAATATACTATAATAAAAATACTGTTTCAGCGCAGATTTTTTTCATTGGTCTTTCCAATAAAAAGATCAATAAGGATTTTTATTCGATATTTTTCTTTGCTACAGAAAATGCGCAAATGCTATGTTGGAACTGATTTCTAAAATTTTGATTAGGCAATTTGGATTGATTTTATTTGATATCCGTGAGACGTTAAACTTATCAAATTAAATTGTTTATAATCACTTGAACTCTTTGTTAAATTTTACAGTCTGTGTTTGTATTTCTGTTAGATAACTTATAACAATGAACAAATATGCTTGAAAATAAAGAATTCATAATGATAAAATAATACAAATTATACACTTGATAAATTCAAGTACTTATATCTTAGTAATTGATGAAAAATAATCTAGTTTTGCGGGTTTTCCATAAGTATTTTATTGATGAAAATGAATAAAAATTTACAATCCAATTTAAAGTCCGGTTTACATTTTTATCGATATTTATAATTTTTATGACATTATCAATAAATATCAGTGCTATTTAATCAATGACTTTTGTTATTCTTTCTTATCATTGATATTTACGTATTAAATAATGTGCGATTATCAACTTTGATTAAATCTGGTCTTTATACGTCGCAATTTTATCAAATTTATTGATATGCTGAAATCTGATAGATTGATTGCAATGGATTTATATATTGAGAAGTTAAACCTGCAAAAAGGTTTTAACCGTCTGATAATGTTAAGAATTTGCATTACTCAAGATTTCATAAGTAAATAATTTAAAAGGCTCTTTATTCAAAAAGTTCTTTTATCCATGAACATTCATTGCCTGATAAAATTTGGGTCTATGACTTATAAAATATATTTCGATAGTTCTCATGTCATACTTCCGAAATTTGAAAGAACGGTTGACAACTGTAGTACAAAGTTATTATGAAATATTGCAATACGTTGTACATATATTTTAAAACTTCCCGAAAATACAATTTGTTTTTACAAACAATGCCGACATTTTCAAAATTTTCAAAAACTGCTGGTGGTGTATGGAATAGTGCATTAAGGAAAATTGCTGGAACTTTACGTATCGTAACGAAATATTCGAGGAATATTAAATGTTTTCAAATAGATTATTATAAATACTGTAACATCGTCTAATAATTATAAGAATTTTATAAACTGAATTACAAAGTTAAAATTATTTATTTATAGTATTAAAATTAAAATCTGATATACAAAAAAATATTTAAAAAACAAAATAATTTTGAAATAAATAAAATTTCCAAAAGCAATTGTTGTGTCAACACATGCAGAATGTTTTTGGATCATTTCAATCGGATCCTTAGTTATCTCAATAACTGCCATTTTTTGTACATTTAGCTCTGTATCTTCGAAATGGCTGGACCTGCCTTTGCCAAAAACTAATCACCAATTTTCCCAATCATTACAAATCGATTTTTTTTTGGATCATTCAAGTCAGATACACCATTCTTTCAAAAACTCGTTTTCTATTTTGTGCACTCTTTGCTAAAACTAATCAGTACATCTCCCTACCATTGGCAGGCTGCCAATAGGAATCGAATGTTTTTTTAACCATTTAAATCGGGTGGTCCACGCACCCAAAACGTGAACGAAAAATTGCAGACACAAAACACATACACACACATCCATTTTTTCTGAGGTATGCCAAAATCAGAAACCTCTCAAACGTGAAGATATGAAAAAAAAAATATTTTTAATTTTTGGCCCATTACTATAAGTTACCTTACGGAAAGTTAGAAAATACAATATTTTCTAAATATTCTAACATTCAAAATTTAATAAAATAAAGTATTTTTAAAATTTTCAAAAAAAAAAATGTGCTTGTTCATTTTAAATTACAATTACAATGCGTGAAGTTCCAGCAATTTGTATTATTACACTTAAGAATATGAAATGAAATAGATTACGTTAAATACTTTTATAGAAAAAAATTAACTTATTATTATTATTGTATGTATATATTCACGTATTATTTGTGCAGTAAAATAAACTTTGAAAGTATCTTCAAAGAAATTAATCTTAATTTTGCTGGAAAGACTGTAAGCAATACATTTTGACATTAAAAAACAATTTTGACAATTCCGATTCGCAAAATTGAAAACGGATCCACCTCAAGAAATAATAAGTTTTTAACTTCGTTGTCTGAAAATATGCTATTTATCATTTATGTTTCAATTACAGAAATTTTTAATGTGATTTGGATTGGAGTATGTATGCCATAAAACATAGGAAATCTAAATCAAGTAATGTAATGTGTAAAACTATTTATCATCTAATTATTCTTTAAAATGCACTTTGTTTTAACATTTTTTTGTATAATAATAATTTAATCTGAATAATTTAGTTGAAATGATATGTGATTTTGAAACCAGAATGACATTAATTTGTTGAGCGATGTTTGTATAACGATATCGTATTTCATATCTTTTATGCTGTAATGAAACTGTAACACGTGCTAAAATTAATGAACTTTCCATATCATGTTATTAATAATCATTTGATAGACTATTAACGTAAACGATAAAACGTTTCTTTATTTTAACAAATAGTTGTTTGACTCAGTTTGGCATCTTTTCACACAATATTCTATATTCGCCAAAGACTGTTTGCCAAAATAATTTATTGCATAAATACGTACGTGGAATTGAAATCACTCATAGACACGTTTATCGATTCTTTTGATGTCATCTTCAATGGTGTCTGCAATTTCTGTAACAAACAAATATATATTTTTAATTCTTTCAAGTTAGGCTATATTTTATAAATGATAATTTTAACTAAAGATTTTTCTCCATAATTTCATAATAATAACCATACCAATGGTATGAGCATTCTATTCCTACTAGTATGAAGATTAGATTGAAGTAATGATTAATTTTTGGCAAAGAAAGGTCGACCCATTTCAGAGATACAGAGCTAAAAGTGCAAAAGTGGAAGTTTTTGAGATAGTAAAGCATCCGATTTGAATGATTCAAGAAACACTTTGTATGTGTTGTCAGTGTGAAGAAACGATTAGTTTTTGGGGATGGCAAAAACATTTTTTTATTTCATTTTTTTTTTCAATTCTCAAAAAAAATTTTTTTTAAATATCTGAAATGATTCAAATTTTAACCTAATCGAATCTAAACCTTACTTATATACTTGAAATAAATAATTTTAATTTTGCAATTCAGTTTATATAGTTCTTAAAAATGAGAATAGATCTTTCATTCTACCTTTCTTGATTATGTATTGTTAATTATAATGTCGTTATAATATATTATAAGCTCTTATATTTTGTCTAGAAAATATGAATAATGAATTTTACAGTTCAATAATAATCTATTTGAAAACAATTAAAATTTCTCAAATATTTTATTACGGTACGGGATGTTCTAGCAATTTGCATTAAGGCGCGATGCTATGCACCGCTAGATTTTTCATTAGTTGTCAATTTGCAGATATACGCCTTCTGTTTGTTTTACTTGTCTATATTCTATGATAAATATAATTATATTCATGAAAAATCAAGAGCACATTAAGGGAAATTTTAATTTGATTTATCCAAAATAGATATAATAGTTTGTTTTACTTGTCTATATTCTATTATAAATATTTATGAAAAATCAAGAGCACATTAAGGGAAATTTTAATTTGAATTATCCAAAATTGTGATATCTTGTTAGAAATAAGAAAAGTTAGTTTTTTTAACAGTAATACTTGAATGTAGAGACTAAAAACAGAACTGGCCATCACGCCGATTCTTAGGGGGTGTCCATTAATCGCGTGTAAGGTTTTCAGGGGGAGGGGGGTTTGTCAAAAAATTCGAAATATCATGTGGGGGGTGGGAGAGTTTTATAAAAAGATATCGCGTTTGTTTATTTTTTATCTGTTTTTTTTTTTAGAAAAATATCCATACATTTTAATTAACAATTTTACTTTTTTTTCTAGTAATTCAAAATACACGTGATGTTTGGTGGGGGAGGGGGCGGGTTAATTTTGAATATCCCCAGGGCGGGGTACCAAAAAACGCCGCCTTACGACGTCGCTATAGTAAGAAAAAAAAAATAAAAATGTAAATTAAGTTAGGAAAAGGAATTTTACAAGAGCTAAATTAAAAAAAGCTGATGAAAATGTATGACAAATCCACATAAGATTAGGTACCGTGTTATCTATGTAAAAAATGTACCTAACATATTTATATTTTGCATTGGTTGTATAATGCAGCTACTATTTTGTCAAATTCCTTTAAAATTAAAAATAAGCCTCAATTTACCCCGCCTATGGGTGAAAAGGAGCATATATTATAAATTAGAAAAATCGTAAAAGAACACATTTCTATAATTAGTAATTGACTGGAAATATAACTGAACATAGTTCGATAGTTTTTTTTTATATGTGTTATATGTTATTATGTAGTTCATTCAGTTCTGACAGTATAATTTCTTAAAGTCAAATTGAACCTTTTTACCAACATACATCTAAATTAAAATTCAGCAATTGCTTCGCTGGTATGAGAGATTGAATTGAACAAAGCAAACAACATTCAAAATGATGCATGCAAATAATTTTAGTAATTGAGTGGAACAAAAGTTTTTGCAAGTTTTAGAGAATATTTTTCACATTATTTATCTTTTATTCTAGTTTATTCTTGTTTCAATCGAGATATTTAAAATTGCGACTCGGCCGCGTAGTGTTTTTGATTAAGTGTGATGAGTTAACGTGTATAACAAACCCATTCAATTCATTTTTATTTTTATTCTTAAGAACTCTTCTTATAGAATATATAACAAAGAAAAATTGTTGTTACTATAACAATACTATGTTCCTTAATAAGTGAGATATTGAAAGACATGCATTTAGAGACGTCATACATATCGAATTATTCCTTTTGGATGTCAATAGTCTGGTACTGAATAGTGTTTATTAATTTACACTAATAATATTTTCAGACGTAAATTGATAATGTATTCGTAAAATGTGAAGTGACGGCTATTCAAATTGTAATAACCTTATGCAAATATTAAAAAAAAAGATTGAACATGATTTTAAGTAGAAAGGAATCTAATAAAGAATAGAGTTTAAACTTGGCATTTTTTTAACTTTTTCTACGTTTATATTTTTGCCAGAATATTCAGTTTTATTTTTTTAATGTTTTAAGTCCTTTAGATTTGAGTGATACCAAAATTTGACATTTACACGTTTTTTTCAAAAATGCTGAAATTTTTTAAATAATATTGTGCAAATATTAAAAAAGCTTGATTGATTATGATGTTAAATAGAAAGGAATCTAATACAGGCTTCATAATTGAAAGTAAAATTTCTTTTTTTTTGCATTTTTGATGTAACTTAATATGGCGAAAGAGTTTATAATTCAATTTGAACGAATGAGCAGTTTCTTCTTAAATTATTCTAGATTTTTTAATGTTTGACGATTTTAATCAAACTTGGCATATTGGTAAGATTCGCTTTCTTTTAACATCCTAAAAATTATACGCCTTAAACAAATTATTTAATTATCAAAAGTCAAAGTTTGGAATAATTGTCCGAGCGCCTAAAATATATAACGTGTACAAAATCAATTTGTAAACGCATTGATTTTATATTTGGCAGAGGATTTTATAAAATTTTATACACAATATTTGAAACTAGAGGGCAAAAGATGTAGAGGGCTATCAGGTGATAAACGGTCATGTTTGAAAAAAAGTATTTACTTTCATTGTTAGTTTTTTGTTGTTTAGTTTATGAGACCAAGTTGTGACCAATACTGTCACAACATATCAGAACAGCAAATAGAAATCGAGTTTTTGAGAGAACAGAGTATCCAAATTGAATGATCTAAAAACCATTCAATTAGTAATGATTGGGAGAAGTGGTTATTAGTTTTTGGCAAAGGCAGGCCCAGCCATTTTGAAGATACAGAGCAAAATGTGCAAAAAATGGCAGTTTGTGAGAGAACTAAGCGTCCGATTTAAATAATTGAAAGAGCTTTCTGCTTGTTTTAACAAAATAATTGATTTTGGAAAAAAAAAATTGTTTCAATTTTTTTTTCAATTTTTTTTTATATATCGAAAATAATTCAGATTTTATTTTTAATTCTGACTAAAGTTCTAATATACTTTAAACAAATAATTTCAACTTTGCAATTCAGTTTATATAATTCTTATAAATATTCGACAATGTTACAATATTTATAATAATCTATATGAAAACATTCAATATTCCTCGAACATTTCGTTACGGTACGGGAAGTTCCAGCAATTTGCCTTAAGGCACGATGCCATGCACCCCACTAGTTTTGATTATATTTAATTAGAATTATTTTTCTTTCAAAGTTGATCATAACCTTATATTATATAAGTTATTTATTAGATGCATTTTTATCAATACAATTTTGTTCTATTCAAAATTCTATTTGCTCAAAATTCTTGGTTATATTTTATCAAACAGGAGGCTGATGTTTCGAGTCAATTGAAGCTTTATATTAACTTCTAGTGAGGCAAGTTATAGTATTAGCAAATAAATCGAAAATGAATATTTTCGCATATCTTTACGGTTCAAAGGTTTCTGAACATTTTGGCATACCTTAGAAAAAAGTTTTATTTTATTATTGTATCTTTCAGAGGAAAGATACAATATTTTTATTTTTAGCTATAAAATTTTCGCAAAAATGTTCTATTTAAAATATTACACATGCGATAACAAAGAAAAGACACTATCTTGCATTTTTGTAAAGATATCCTAACCCGTAGACTCAATAAAAGACGTTAAAATTATACAACATATGTGACTAAAAAAGAAATAAAAATTTTAGTTGAATATTTCACGTGCAGGTTTGCGAATCTAATGATGTTAAAATGAAATGTTTTTGTTATATGCACCAAACTATAAGTAACTATAACCATTGCAATTACTTATTAGAACTTCTGACAGTCTTGTGATAATTTGTTTTTATTCAAAAAACGTGTTCTTGTGTGCTTTAACCGTGACTATTCACTGCAAATATCATTTAAAATTATTTCTAGCGATAATTGTTTTCTTATTATAAAAACGTGTATATAATATCTAACACAAATATGTACGAAAGATGTTGTTTTGAATTTGATTAGCATATTACACATTATGGTATGCTCATGTGTTCGCAAGAAGGTCGTGTTTTTTTTTACTGATCTTCCTTAATTATTTTGAATTAAATATTTATTATGATATAGATATTCTGATCGCATTTAACAAAGTGGACAAAATGCGAACATAAATTATATATATTTGCATTAAGTATATACCATAGGGCAGAGCGGCGCTTAAAGGTCCGCCAGTAAATAGGTCCACTACCAATATCTCGTAAATATAAAGATTTTTTTTTTAGTTATTTTTGAACAGCAATCAGAACCCAATAGTCCTATAAGCTGTTGTGCTGATTTGACTTAATACTAGTCTGTTTGACAGATGGCTACCCAATCAGTTGTCACATCTCTATATGATATATTATTATTACAATTTCTGTAATAGGGCAGACGCCGTCTAACTGACAACAGGCTGCAGGAAGTGGGTATCGAACCAGGGACCTCTGAAATAAGTCACGTCGCTCTTAACCGCTTACCTACGGGCGAGCCCATGAAGAATTTTTAACCACAACATTTGAATGTAGAGCAAAAAAGATGTGTAATCAACCAACGCCTCAAATTAATCAACGTCGTTATCAGGTGTTTAAGCAATCATGTTTGAAAATC